TGATTCCGGTCTAGCAAAGGCTATAGGGAATACTAGTTCCGGTCTAAGGCTATAGGGAATACTAGTTCCGGTCTAGCAAAGGTTACAGGAAATTTTAATTCCGGTCTAGAAAAGGTTACAGGGAATAATTGTTCCGGCCTAAGCTCTCTAGAGAAATTACTAATGAAATCTTTTGCAGGACCTCAGGACGGATCAGAACTAACTACCATACCTCTGAAGGGTCAGTGTGGACCGAACCAGACACTATAATATTGTCAGGATAGTCGAACGATATTTGAGGCGCGTGCGAGGGCGCACGCATGTCAGCATGGCCGTGTCGGCACTAGCGCGCCAACTAAACATAACTATAACCAACACGTGCACCGATCACGCCACCGAGCGCGTGATTCGATGCCCCACTCTCCCCACTACTAGCTGTATAAAAGACGTGCGCGATTATTCGAAGGCAGTCTTGGCTCTGACGTGGCGCGGTGCACTAATTGTACTTAGCCTGTTAACCTTGACTCTTTGGATAATTAATTTGTGAAAACGAATTAATTATTATTCTGGTGTTGTTATTTGGTCCTTGGACTAATTATATCCGATTTCAACTATTATTCAGTTTAAAAGAACTTCATGCCCTGAATTATGGCCCATCCATTTATCCATTTCTATCTTGTATTCCTACATCAGAAGTGGGATAGCGATCCACCTCCATCTCATAATCAAACCAATTGCATTGAAAAGCAAAAAAAAAAAAAGCCTCTTTTTGGAATGGAAGCAATTTTATTAAAATTATCAAATAGTTTAAACCAGCATCCCGTGAATCCACCTCTTGTGATTTAGGCCTGTAGGTCGGTCATTATCCACTTTTCGTATCACTAGCGGACGTTTAAGACTATCCGCTGTTCTGTCTGATAAATGACCAATCAACGCCAGTATTCTCTGCAAATAGATATTAGATAAGCGCTAACCATCTTGTCTTTTGAGTTCTTTGATTATAGTGACGTTCGTACGACGGACCGTCCAAGGTATGCGTAACAGTGTATTTGGCCAGCACCACATTCCTAAGGCATCAATTCTTTGCCTGTCAAGGGCTTCCAGAATCCACGTCCGGACTACGCTTTGATCAGTTTGTGAAGATGAACGGTCTAGCTTATTAGAGTCTATGTCCGGGTCATCGTTCACTTACGTGAGTATGGCTAGTGGAGATGAACGGGCTAGCTCATTGGAGTGTATGTCCGGATCATCGTTCACTGATTTTCTAATTTAAAAAAAAGAGCGGAAAGAGCCCAAAAAAAAAAAGAGCAATAAAAGCCAAAAAAAAAGAAGAAAAAAAAAAAAGCTAAAAAAAAAAAAGCTAATAAAGAAAAAAAAAAGCTAAAAAAGAAAAAAAAAAACAAAAAAAAGAAAAAAAACCTAAAATAAAAAGAAAAAAAAGAAGAAAGGTTAAAAAAATAGTAAAATAAAAAAAAAGAAATGAAAAGTAAAAAAAAGTTAAAAAAAAGAAAGGTTTAAAAAAATAATAAAAAAAGAAGTAAAAAAAAGAAAGTTAAAAAAAGAGAGTAAAAAAAAAAAGAGTAAAAAAAAAAGAAGGCAGAGAGTTGAAGGGCTTACGCCGGTCTAACCGTGTGGCTGTAGGGAATCATAATTCCAGTCCAGCATGAAGGCTATAGGGAATAGTGATTCCGGTCTAGCAAAAGCTATAGGGAATACTAGTTCCGGTCTAGCAAAGAAAAAAAAATGTGGCTGAAGGGAATTATAATTCCGGTCCAGCGTGAATGCTACAGGGAATAGTGATTCCGGTCTAGCAAAGGCTATAAGGAATAGTGATTCCGGTCTAGCAAAGGCTATAGGGAATACTAGTTCCGGTCTAAGGCTATAGGGAATACTAGTTCCGGTCTAGCAAAGGTTACAGGAAATTTTAATTCCGGTCTAGAAAAGGTTACAGGGAATAATTGTTCCGGCCTAAGCTCTCTAGAGAAATTACTAATGAAATCTTTTGCAGGACCTCAGGACGGATCAGAACTAACTACCATACCTCTGAAGGGTCAGTGTGGACCGAACCAGACACTATAATATTGTCAGGATAGTCGAACGATATTTGAGGCGCGTGCGAGGGCGCACGCATGTCAGCATGGCCGTGTCGGCACTAGCGCGCCAACTAAACATAACTATAACCAACACGTGCACCGATCACGCCACCGAGCGCGTGATTCGATGCCCCACTCTCCCCACTACTAGCTGTATAAAAGACGTGCGCGATTATTCGAAGGCAGTCTTGGCTCTGACGTGGCGCGGTGCACTAGTTGTACTTAGCCTGTTAACCTTGACTCTTTGGATAATTAATTTGTGAAAACGAATTAATTATTATTCTGGTGTTGTTATTTGGTCCTTGGACTAATTATATCCGATTTCAACTATTATTCAGTTTAAAAGAACTTCATGCCCTGAATTATGGCCCATCCATTTATCCATTTTTATCTTGTATTCCTACATATATATATATATATATATATATATATATATATAGGAATGATATTTTTTTTGATTTTACTAAATAAGTATCGTACCTTTAGTCGCACACCGAAAATAACACTTAATAGTCGATTTTCGTGGCATTTTTTCAACTTTTCGATAATCCAAATTCGTGATTTGCAATCAAAATCCAAATGAGAACAGCCGGGGTCAATCGTAGTCGCAGAAAACAAAGTCCAATTGAGAAAAGCCGGGTCGATCGTCAAAAGCGTTAAAATAGGAATCAATGATTATATTAAGCCGGGTCAAAAGTTTTGAAAAGAACGAACAGCACAAGAACAACAGTAAACAACTGAAATAGTAATTTAAAATTTGTCCTAATGTCAAATCAATTTGAGAGCTCTTTACGTCATCTATGAAGTTATAAGGGAAAATAGTGTCAAAGTTGTTGTATCTTTTTCATTAGATGGCAGAATTTTCTATACATTATTTTCTTACGCGTTAATTATATGACAGTTTCATCCTCATGGAACTAATCTAAAATAAACATTAATATTATAGTTAGGTACTAGAATACAAATAAAGTGAGTTTACAAACATCAATAACGTATATTCGGCCGTTGGACAATGATGATTGCTGGCTCACTTCACTGGAGTCTGATTTATTTGGTCACCAAGGAGCCATGTATTGTTTACGAAATATAATTACACTTTTGATGTTTCCAGTCTGTTCTATTCTTATTCTATAGTTATTATACAGGGTGACTGGTGAATTACCATCGACATTTGAGGACGTGATATTTGACGATCATATATGACAAAATAAAAATTAATATAACATAAATATTAATAAACTTCTAAGTAAAGTTAACCAAAAGTTATGTAATTAATTACGCATCGTGTGAACACCCTACAGATTAGGTATACACACACACACACATACACACACACACACACATATGCGTGCGGCGGCGTGGTGTTGTATCAGCACGCCGCCGCACGCGTCCACACTTGGAACACTTGGAACGTGTCAACACTTTATTTATTAATACGGAAATTTTGTCAAAAATTAAGTACCTATTTTTTTTTACATAATTCGAATGGGAATCATGTACCGAGTATTCTCCTTAAATATTGATAGTAATTCAGCAGTCATCCTGTATATCGGATTCATTACATATTTCGTTGTTTTTAAAGAGAGAGACGCCAGCCTCGCTGACGTTACAAATGTCACTTCTTCTAGTACGTTCCATGATATTTTAAAATGAAACTTCAATTGTTTCTGTATTTCTCGAAGGTTCTTCATAATCACATACTTCAATGACACGCACTAACTGAACTCTGAATTCTGCCGTCGTTCATTCAGACGTCATATGTATAACAAGATTTAAACATAGTTCTATTCTCTTTTAAACAACCTTTGATTTCGTGTTACTTTTAACAATAACACAATAACCATAAATACTAATGAGGTTTAATAAGAATTGATGACAGCCTCAAATTATTTTCATGTCGCATCTGTTATTAAAGCTGATAGCGCCGATATATAGGTATAATATAATAAGGTAAAAATTAAATATCCCTCGGCCAATATTGATGTGTGTAGAATATGTACAGTATAATAATTTGAGTTTATCTCGGTTTATATTTAAAAATGACACTTTCAGAACTGGGACAGCGGACACCGAATAATGTTTTGCTATAAAAAAAATGTCATGTCTTCTGTCAGGAAACGCAGCGGCTACTGACTGACTGAACCATTGTAGAAGGTTGATTTAAAAAAAATGAATTTACAGTAATGCCGAAGATAAAATATGTAAACAAACTCTATAAATAACTACCACAGAATCAAACATGTACTTTAAAGAAACTGTTGAGCAAAACCTGAAGTTGTTTTATTTTAATAAATAATAAGAGTATTTTTTGGTGTTCAGTATGTCGTCATAGTAAGCGGCGACTATTTACTGCTCGAAATAGCCAGACGACGCGTGGCGACGATCGCGGCCGAGCGAGAGGGAGAGGAGAGGAGACGAGACGGGCCACAGTACGATCCGATCCAGAAATAACACGAGTCTGAGGGACGGGAGTTGAGCTCAATGAATGTTTATATCGATAAGGGGTTCTCTTAGTGAATAAGACGACAATTAGTGATGGACATCAAACTATACTATAAAGATCATAAATAAAGGAAGTAGATTCACTTGATGTCTACAATATGTAATATAATTGTGTAATTAAGTTCACTTCGTATATTAATGTACCGTTTCAAATATTTATGGATAATTATAAATATCGATATGTCCTAGATCTACACTCGAAAGATCTGCCGAGTTCGTTCAGTGCTAAGTGAATTTCAGCAGGGTGGCGGGTGTAGGTTCATCATCACAGAATAACAACATGAGTCGTTACACCTTCATCCTGCTGCATCTAATGATCGTCTCACTAACGGGAATTAGAGCAGATTCAATCCCAATAGGCACGTCTTCAATACTATAACATCGATAGTGGATTTAGTGACACAAGAATGAGTGAGGAAAGATTATATGGAGAGTGTATGTCCAGGAGTGGCTGAAGGCATTCCTGAAGTCGCCGTCCTCCTGGAGCAAGCCGTGGCCGCGGGCGGAGGAGCAGCGGCCGGGGAGCGAGGACCGAGCCTCGAACCTTATGAGCCCTTAGCAGTACCAGAACATATCTGCACTCAGGTACATGTGCAACTCTTTTTCTAAACGTACTATAACATTTATGTTACGCAAAACAAAAAGTGTCAATATAAAACTTTAAACTATTATATTAATTAAAATTTTTCTTTTGTTGTATATCTTATTATATACAAAGAAAAAACCACTATTTGCTAGCAGCCTAACTTTTAAATGTAGATTGTAGGTCAAATGTTTTGTTGCATATTCTTGCTGTATCTTTATTGAAAAAGATTTCCATGGCGCAGATCTGATTAATCTAGTCTTTAATAGAAATTGATGTGTAAGGAATTTTTCAAACGAGACTCTTGTAGACATCAGGTGGTGGGTCCAATTTACATAATTTCCATCCAACTGTTTCTCTCAGACATGTCAGAGAGATCTCTCTGTCTCTCAGTTCTCCAATTTAATGTGGAGGTTTATGAAAGAACCTACAAAATATCAATTGCATTAATATTATGGCTTGTCTAGACCACAACGAACAGGTTTATAAGCTACAACAAGACCCATGTATGTATATCGTACTAAATTAAATAATATAATTTGCTTGTTTTTGACATCAAATTTTTGGAAATACTTCAATATAATGTAATAAAATAGCTTAAACTAAATTAGAAAAAAATATTAACATATTTTTGATTTGTCCTCACTGTATCTCTGGGTACAATGTATAGTGGATATGATATAAATCCACACTGACTCTGTGTTCAAAATATGTTTGTAAGCCGTTTCGATTTTAACTTATTAGAGAGCGATGAAATAAATTTAAATCTAAAAAAATTAAAAATCAATACAGTACATAATAAAAATCAAAGTTAACCTTAGCTAAATGTATTACCAATATCAATAAAACTCGAGTCCTCCCTCAAATTTGTATCAGTAAGGATTTTTTATTAGACATTAGACATTTGACACAAAAAAATATATAGTTACTTTTGAAAACTAAAAATGTCATAGCGTGTGAATATAGTTAACAATGAACTTTAATTCTAGTAAACAGATTGTAGGACGTAAAGTGGAGTTCTCAGTAGTCCTCCTGGACTACCTAGTACTATACTGTGTGCACACAGACACACTACCTCATAGTGCTTAGGGCTTAACTGAAATTAATAACTTGAGTAAATAGTAGAAGGAATTGTTATTGTCAAAACACTATATGTAACAAGTATGTTATTGTTAAGTATCGGTTTAAACAGCGTAAGAACGTTAGCTTTAAATGCATTGACTTTCGAGTATGTTAATAAAACGACTCCATACTTATGTCACAATGTGATATTTGATCAATGTTTAGTCACTGGTGTCTGGCTCTAATATAAATATAAAACTTTTATTATAAAACCTTTCAAGTATTTTAATAATACAATTATATTTCTTTATAACAATTACATATATAGGTATGGATTAAGTTTCAAGATCACTTCACTTTATCATATTTTACTTAATAACACTTCGTAATTCAGTTAAGGAAATGCTTACCGCTAGAACATTGTACAAAAGACAATTTTACTTCCAGTGTATAAACCCTCATTGAAATACTATATAATATATATTATATTCTCAATTTAGTGCACACTTCATGGAGTCTTCGCCGACCAAACGATAGGTATTTACTGACTGTTTCATTAAACATTTGGCAGGTTTTTTTATAACTAAGCTCTAATAGTTTCTATTCACATTTGCAACAGTAAGTTAGTTCACAAATTATTAAACATTTTATCATTACAATTCAGTACATTATTACCATATCTAACACTAGTGACTCTTTACATTTTCTGTTTATATTACTTTAATTTTTTTTGACACTTAAGAAGTCATTAGTTATTTATCACTTATGAAAAAGCAATAATAAAAAAAACAATATTTTATGTATAATTTCGATGAAATAGAGTAGTTACATGTACATATTTGAACGCAACATTTATACAGGGTGACTGGTGAATTACTATCAATATTTAAGGAGAATACTCGGTACATGATTCTCATTCGAATTATGTAAAAAAAATAGGTACTTAATTTTTTACCAAATTTCCGTATAAATAAATAAAGTGGGGACACGTTCCAAGTGTTCTAAGTGTGGAGGCGTGCGGCGGCGTGCTGATACAACACCACGCCGCCGCGCGCAAGTGTGTGTGTGTGTGTGTGTATACCTGATCTGTAGGGTATTCACACGATGCGTAATTAATTACATAACTTTTGGTTAACTTTACTTAGAAGTTTATTAATATTTATGTTATATTAATTTTTATTTTGTCATATATGATCGTCAAATATCACGTCCTCAAGTATCGATAGTAATTCACCAGTCACCCTGTATAACTTCCCGTTTTGTAGGCCAGTGAAGGTTTACTGGCCAGCGTGGGTGGTGTGGAGGGCGCGGACGCGGCGGCCCGGGCAGGCCTGCTGCTGCTGCTGGCGGCTCCCGTGCCCCTCCCCTCCCCGGCGCTGACCGTCCCCTCCACGCAGCCCGACCATCCCTTGTCAGCAGCTCTTGAATTTTATCCTCGATATGATGTTCTCGCAGAGGTGATCTTGTATATTTGAGTTTGTTAAATCTATATTAGGTATGTCTTTTACTTGCAGATGTTGTCTTTATGTTTTGCTCAAACGGTATATTCTTTACGAAAGGCCTGCGCAGCTCTATGTGAAGCTAAAGGTTGGAAGCACGCCGTGTTACTGCACGACGGTAGCGGCAGCGCGGCGCCGCTCATCGTGCCGGACCACGACACCCTCGCGCTCCGAGTCCGCCAGCTGCCCTCCAGAGAGGACGACGACGCCTTGAGGTTTGTTTTAATATTAAAACAATTATAAAACGTGATTTCATTCACTTTTTTGTTGTAGGAATCTTCTCCTCGTGCTGAAGAAGTTCGGTGCTGTAAACTTTATCGTGTGGTGCTCGGCGGAGTGCTCGGTGCGAGTGTTGGACGCGGCCCAGCGTGTGGGGCTGCTCTCCGAGCGACACTCGTATGTGATGCTCTCGCTGGACCTGCATACTCTGCCGCTCGAAGACTTCAGCTACGGTGGAGCCAACATCACCTGTAACATATAACTGTCTCATTGGATACTATATAAACATACAGATTTGGTATCCCTCATACAGATTTTGTATTCTATAAATTTCAGCGCTGCGTTTATTTGACCCTGAATCTTCTGCAGTGAATACGTCTATGGAAAAATGGCAGCAACAATATCTAAATCTTCTAGGAAACGAAGCGAACGAAGAAATTGATGAGGTTAAAAAACAATTCATATGAAATGTACACTTAGAAATATATTTACGAAATTTAAAATTATAAATTGTTCTAGGTCATTTCGAATCCTCCGACTTCATTACTTTTATCATACGATGCTGCAAAAATAGTATCCGAAGGTCTGGAGTACCTCGACCTCCCGTTTATGGAAGACTCTCCGTCCTGCGAGCAAGGCACCGCCGCCTTCCACGCCGACACACTCCTGAACTATTTACGATCGGTATGTTGAAAAGTTGTGACATAATAATAATTAATTACGGGAAAATGAATAATCGTCACCAATCAAACGTCTTAGGAAGAAACCACTGGCGCAACCGGACCTCTCTGGTGGGAGGCGACGGGAGCCCGCGGCGGTGTTCGTCTCCACGTGGCGGAGCTGGAGCGAGGCGGCGCGCTGAGGGCCGCGGGCGAGTGGTCGCGGACCGGGGGCCTGACGTGGCGCCCGCGACCTCCCGCGCCGCCGCCGCCGCCCGACGTCATGACCAACCGCACCTTCACCGTGCTCATCGCTCAGGTCAGGGCGATGTATCACATCAACTGTGCTCGAAGTCTTGTCATCGTTTTGTTTCCTTCTATAACAAAACTAAATTTCAGAATCAGCCGTACGTCATGAGACAGCAGTCCCCCGAACGACTCTCAGGCAATGCGCGTTATGAAGGTAAAAATATCATTTATGATATAAAACATAAAGCAATCCAGCAAGTGGATGCTTTATTATGTGTAATATTTTATTTAATAGAGTTAGAATGCAACACGTAGGTCGTGTATTTGTTGTCACAGGTTTTTGTATAGAGCTGGTGGACCGCTTGGCTCAGCTGTTGCACTTCAACTACACGTTCATAGAGCAAGCGGATCGCGCCTACGGCTCCCTCAACAAAACTACCAAGCAATGGAACGGAATGATGAGACGCCTCATGGATGATAAAGTCATTATCACTAAATCTCTATTCTAAAATAATTTGTAAATGTTGTTTTAAGATCCAGTTTCACCAATCAATGTTAAATAAGTAACATCGTGTTAAGACGTTTGATGCTCTGTTAGATGTATCGAGCGTCCCACCACGCACAAATGTCCGTTTAAATGTCTCAACAAGCCACTAATATTAATTCCTGCTCTGGAGCTCCGTCTAATGTTAATACATTGTCAAAACTCAATCGTCCAATCACAGCCCTGATTTCTTGTAACCATAGTAACGTCATCTGTTTTGTCAGTTTAGACTATTTCCTTGTTATCAGTGGCGGCTGTACCTTAAGTGCACTCGTGCGCTGAACCACCAATTCAAAAGATTTAAAAATTACAAAATAATACTTTATCTTTATTTTTAAATTACCATTTTAATATTTATTTCCTAAACATACAAAAACTTATAAAAAATTAAATTTCTAATTATAGTCAAAAAGCTTGTGCGCTTTACTAAACTAATATCTCGTGCGCTTCGGCGAGTGCACGAGGACTCCTAATACATCTTGTATGAGATACGCATTAATACGCCTGGCGCGTGAAACAAAAGATAGTTCATAGAAATGTACCGAGTATGTACTCATTAGAGTCGGTTCTCGAGCGCCGCACGAGCGGCCGAAGATTACCGAGAACACCCGATGTATGACGAATCGGAGTTGAAAAGAATCAAAACTTTTCTTCGAAATACCATGCACTTGCTAAATGCACTTTCTATGCTTAGTATTGAAAAAAATAATTATACAAACAATACCCGATTTTAATAAAAAGGTGATTGAATATTTCGCTTCAGAAAAATGTCGTCGCATTGATTTAATGTTTAAAAAATAAACATATTTTATGGCAATTGGTTTTTTGTTTGCATTTTCTAATTTTAATATTTTATTAAAGTGCACCACCAGTTCGATAACCCACCAGCCGCCACTGCTTGTTATTATCAATAAAGTGAATTAAAATTTCATTTAGTGTGATGATTTTGCCTCCAGCTTTTCTATGACATTGCAAATTAAGTTTTCTTTTTATTTCTAATAATTTGAACACAATTTATGTCTATATTTATAACACAATTTATGGACAACACGATAAATTGAAAAAAAAAAGCTTTTGTGTGCTAAATGTATGCAACCAACGATATATAAAATTTGGTCACATTAGCTTACAAGTGACGTATCGAGGAATATATACGATCAAATTATAAAGTGGTGCATCGTGGCAAACGTGCCGTATTAAACGCTACAGTTTCCACTTGGTCGTTTTATAACAAGAACGAATAATTTGGTAGTCGGTCATTTGACATGACGTTTAATAATGCATTGTTAATTTGTCATCGTGGGACGTAAATATTTTAACAGACATTTATAATTTTGTTGGTTGGTTAGTAAATGCTGTGATTAGATTAAACAAACATTGATTGGTGAAACTGGGTCTTAATGTGCTTCCTATTCATTTACAATATATGACAATTTTAACAATAGAATATAGACTTCGCTATAACGGATCTCACTATAACGGCTGAGCGAGAGGAGATCGTCGACTTCACGACGCCCTTCATGACACTAGGTATCAGCATCCTGTTCCACAAACCTCAGCCTCCCGCACCGGAGCTACTGGCCTTCCTGTTGCCCTTCTCTAACGGGGTAAGACTGTGTATGTGTTGAATTGAATTAAGCATATATTCAAACTTGTTTCATTTTCAAATAAATTAAATCAGTTGCCAGAGGTAAATGGTATTTCTAAGGAACCACACGCTACATTTTCTCTTTTCAAAAATATAGATATGAACCTAAACTATTTGTTTGCCAAACTGACTAGTATTTTATTCTATAGGTTTGGATGTGCCTGGGGCTGGCGTACGTGGGCACGTCCTTGGTGCTGTACGTAGTGGGTCGCCTGTGCCCCGAGGAGTGGCAGAACCCCTACCCCTGTATCGAGGAGCCATCTGCGCTCGAGAATCAATTCACTTTAGCTAATGCTCTGTGGTTTAACCTGGGAGCTGTACTTCAACAAGGTTCTGAAATCGCACCGATGTTAGTATCATAATTCATTATCTGGTCTTAAGTCTTCCTGTATCGTTTTAGACAAATAATTGTTATTGAGTATTGTGTACATTCTAAGTCTTCTGTTCCTGACATGTGCACTTCCATTGACCGTTTTATGTTTGTCAGTGCTTACGGTACTCGTGCAGTGGCCAGTATCTGGTGGATGTTCGCGCTGGTGATCACGAGCTCCTACACGGCCAACCTGGCCACGCTGCTGGCCTCCAAGACCTCCACCGAGCTCATCCGGAACGTGCGCGAGCTCGCCGAAAACGACCAGGGCATCACCTACGGAGCGAAGTCCAGTGGCTCCACTTACACTTTCTTTGAAGTCGAACTTCTTATATTCATTCATTTACTATTATAATTTACACTTTTATCAAAAAATTATATTAAATTTTAGATGTCAAGCAGCGAACCATACAAAAGCATGTTCCAAAAAATGAAAGAAGACCAAATGCCTATAAGTAACGAGGAAGGAATAGATAAGTAAATATAAGAAATGAACTATGCTCGTATCGGTATAAAAATATTTCATTATTACTATATTTTATATGTACAAGATGGCAAGCATCATTCTTGACGTATCATGCAATGAATTGTTATGACATCCTAAGACTTTCTTTTAATATTACCTTGAGTAAAAATGATAATAATAATAATAATAACAGAGATGTCCGTTTGTTTTTATAGAGTAATGAAAGAAAAGTACGCGTTTTTCGCGGAGTCCACGACCATCGACTACACGACGGAACGTAACTGTGAAGTCACAAGAGTAAGGAACATTACACTCGAACTAGTCTAGTCTAGTCTAGTCTAGTCTAGTCTAGTTAATCTTTAAAACATATCTATCACGGTTACGTTACATTTAAATATATCCGATCTTATTTTATTGCAAAATATTCAAAAACAATATTTAGACTCGTTATATGTAACGGCTCAAGAGAAACTCAAAAGGTCTACAAGTGTTTTTTAAAATATTTTTATATTTATAGCACTTCAATAAATAAACAACAACAGCATGTAGTATTAAAGATTTTAAATATTGTCAATTATTAATCTGCATCATGTTTCAGGTGGGAGATCTCTTAGATAGTAAAGGATATGGCATAGCAATGAAAAAGAGTGAGTCAAATGAACATCATTGTCTTCTTTGTAATTAATATTAGACTACTTCAGTATTCATACGTATCATACATACTTCTTAACACATACCTACCCCGCTGTTCGTCCCGGTCAGAGAACAGCTTCACTGGATGTCAGTCATCGCTGATATTGCTTCATTAACTTGTCACCATCTTGTCCTATAACCATTTTTCACATCTGTTATTTTAATTTTTAGGTTCCTTTAGTAAATTTTTAATATTGTTTCTCAATTAAGTACCTGATCAAAAGCAAATTATTTGTTTTTAGTTTGTAAAGCAGTAAATAATATAGAATATAAATAAAAGAGAAAGATGAAAGTCAAAATGTTAAACCAAACGCTTTATTGCAATTAACTTTAAAAACATCGCGCATTTGCAAAATACAGATCGCAACCACATATTATGCGAAATGTTCTGTGTAAAGTTTATCAAAAGGTGGAACATTTTATTAGTAACACCACGTGCGAACTCGACTACAACGCTCATTTCCCTTTTTATTAACTCTACAAAAACACTTTCTGTATATTAAACGTATTTCATTTCCAGACTCGCCGTACCGACAGGCGTTGAATCTGGCTCTGCTGAACCTGCAAGAGGCGGGGATTCTTAGGGAGATGAAACATCGCTGGTGGAAAGAAATGCACGGGGGCGGCGCCTGTCAGGTTATAAAATAAAGGAATGTTTACATTGACGATCTAACACGTAAACTTAACACTGTGACGTTTTAGGACAAGGAGGACCACGCGACCGAGAGACTAACAATCGACAACTTTAAGGGTTTGATCCTCGTGTTGACGGTGGGCTGCGCGCTGGGTATAGTCATGTCCTGCTGTGACCTGGCGTGGGGCGCCTGGCGTCGTCCGCGCGACCCGACGCGCTCCTTCGCCGCCAGCTTCTGGTCCGAGCTGCGCTTCGTGTTCCGCTTCGAACAATCAGAGAAGCCAGTCCGCGGCGCCCTCACCCCCCCTCCCAGCTCCCACGAGTCGCCTCCTTCGGCACACTCGGAACGCTCGGAGTTGACAACGGGGAGTAGAGGCGACGGGAGGGGGAGGGAGGAGGACGACAACCACGGGGAAGACGATGTCGGCTCACGCTTCTCAGCACGCTCGCGACGGACCAGCGCCCGGCGGTGTTCCATGCACGCCGCCAGCTTGAGACTAGCGAGACACACCACGCCCCGGCGATGACGTCACACCGACACATGACAACAACAACAACGATATAGGCCGCTAGACTTGAGCTGAGCTTTGCATTTGTGGGAGTGAAAGTAAAAGTAGAGTTAGACGAAAAACTTTTAGAATTTAATTTTATTATATTTTAAATAGATACATAACATAAGTGCTATAAAATAAGCAAAACTTGTAAAAATCCAAATGGAAATATTATGAATCTTGTGGATTGTTTTTTTATTGATTAATAAGAATTTTGAAAAAACTGTACAAATTCTTATTCACTTGACATTGCGTTTACAACATTTGATATTGCTACCAGTACAAAAGGTGAAGTGAGGAAGGTGCGGGGCGGAGTAAAAACAGAATAAACTGGTTCAAAACTAGAAAAGAACGTGGTATTTAAAAATTTGACATCACACCTACACTATGCGTGTACACTCACACAAATGCAAAGCCCAGCTTAAATCAAACGCACTATACCTTCGCAAACTGGAAATCTTTAAAAATTGAGAAATAATTAATTATTTATTAATATACTAACAAAGTTATTCTTGCAGGCAAGTTTGTCATGCTTTAAAAATTTTGATAAATAAAAGGATTTATTATATTTGCAATTTAATGTCATTTTCATTTTTAAAATCAAAAACTTTTCATATAAATTAATTAATGAAACTAGGAAAATGAGAGAAACGTCTCTTAGTATAAGTAATTAAAAATCATATGAGGCTAAGCATTTGATGAAAAATTATTTAGAAATCACAAAAATAAATTAATATACCTAATAATTACTAGAGACGTAGCTTACATTACATGATACTAATTAAATATTATTTAGAGTTTACAAATAAGGCCTCTATTTAGGATAAAAGTTTGAAAGACAGATTAAATGAAGATACACAGTTAGCGTCTCTCTTGGACAGTTCTAATCTATCAGTAATCCAATAACATTGAGAACTACTGCCTACAACACAGCACTTCTAACTAATTGAGCCTATCTGTTCATTTTTAAGAATTCAGTAAATGATAAGTGCTTGAATTATGAATTTTTCGAATACATATGCATATATTTTATATGAATGGGATAATATAACTTTACTCGGGACAGTTCCCGAGTGTACTTGTTAAATATATACACCAAACTATTCAGACACATTGCAAGCTTTTGTTGTTTATAATTTTATTAAAACAACTGGTTCCCCTTTTCCTTTTTTCAAATGGTTAAATCGTTTCATAACATTTCAATGCCTATCCTGTGTTGTAAGGTCTTGAAGCTGTACACAATGACGTGGAAAAGGAATGTTTATGATATACCTACAGGGTGACTGGTGAATTACTATCGATACTTGAGGACGTGATATTTGACGATCATATATGACAAAATAAAAATTAATATAACATAAATATTAATAAACTTCTAAGTAAAGTTAACCAAAAGTTATGTAATTAATTACGCATCGTGTGAACACCCTACAGATTAGGTATACACACACACACACACGCGTGCGGCGGCGTGGTGTTGTATCAGCATGCCGCCGCACGCGTCCACACTTGGAACACTTGGAACGTGTCCACACTTTATTTATTTATACGGAAATTTGGTCAAAAATTAAGTACCTATTTTTTTACATAATTCGAATGAGAATCATGTACCGAGTATTCTCCTTAAATATTGATAGTAATTCACCAGTCACCCTGTATATATAGTTCATACATTTATTTCATTGTAGAATATTAGATGGATTTTTCCTTCGAACCTTCAAACCCAACTTGAAGAGATTTGATCAAATGTTTTACTGTGAATTCAAAAAACGCTCAATGAATACCTGTAGCTAAATAATTAAAATGTCATAAAAATTCTTATTTCCCATTATATTTTAACATGATTAGAATTATTAATAATTATATTTCATTAGTTAAAGTCAAGGTATATTAAACATGTTCTAATTGTATCCACTTAATTTATTGCTCTCAAATCATTCTCTCTCTGCTGCTCCCGTTGCGTCGCCAACGATCGTTTATAAGACACACAGGTACCACGAATACAAAAACAAAATTAATTATACATAGATACATACATACATTCGCATAGATTATTATTAATATATTAAACGTTAACTACATTCTTCATGTTGTTAAATTGTTGGCACGAGTAACAGAATGTCGATCGTACAACTTGAGAGTTTAAGAGAGTGAGCGGGGACCGGCGCAAGTGTAGGCCGTGTGGTGCGCGGAGGTGGGTGACGTCACGAGCCGCCCCGGCCCTCGGGCGGCGGCGCGGCGCAGGCGCGACTGTATCGACGCGGGGCGGAGGCCGAGCGAGGCGGTAGTCGGGCGCCCGCCGCCGCTGGCCCAACATGCAGCACCCGCAGCAGCCGCCGCTGGCCGCGCGACCCCTCGTCAACCCCGACGAGACCGGGGAAGTCGACACCTCCAGGTGGGCCCCGACACACACACAACAGACAGAGAACATTACTGACACGCTACCTCATACACAAGTAGTCACGATGATATCATTTCAAACATTTAAATTATTTTGATTTAGGTGTCTCGACAAATCATTTTGATTTGATGAACTCTTCTAGTGGGTAAAAAGGTCCAAAAAAAGATTGATTGTACATATTAATAGAAAAATATCCTGCTCCGACGTAATTAATGCCCTCACCAGTAATATGTATATACCAATACCATAATACCTTGTACAAAAACATATGTTTCTCTAATCTTAGCATCCCAAAGAGAAGTCCCATGTCTGTTTATGCAATAGGTATAATATATTATTGATCCATGAGCGTTCTTTATTCATCAGTTTTTCAGGTGTGGTATTTTAGTAAATGTATTATAATGACTATTTCTGTCTCTTTTATATATTGATGAACTTACATAATGCTAACAAAATATATGTATATAAAAAATCAAGGCACCACAGAAACACACATATTATTATCAAAAACAGATCCAATATTTATGTATACCTACATGCTTACGTTGTTTTTATATTTTATTGTTCTTATTAACAATATATTCAAACCACAAAATCATAATAGACCACAATTAAAATAACAATAAATGTTTTCAGTTTATTAATGATTGAATTAAACCAGTTTGATTTTACTTTTTTCGCTTTTATACAATAAGAAATTGTTCAGTTTATCATAATTAAACATATTAATGTTATTGTTATAATAAAATTCTGTGTATAGATACCCCGAACCCAAGGAGGCCACTCACAAGGTGCGAGGACGAAGCGACGTCCTGGAACTCATCTGTGGCCCGGGGACCGTCGACCCCGAGCTCCTCACCGTCAAGACTTTCTACTTCTTCTTCTACTCGGCTTTCGGATCACTGTTCCCCTTAATGGGGGTTTACTTCAAGCAGATGGGAATGAACGCTGGCCAGTGTGGCCTACTGATCGGTACTAGACCCTTCGTAGAATTTTTATCGGCACCATTTTGGGGCGGACTGGCAGACAGATGGCAGAAGGGCAGGACATTGTTACTAGCGTCTCTGACCGCCTGGATAGTGTTCACTCTGCCGCTGAGCTGGGTTCAGCCTACAGCCGTGTCGTGCGTCCAACCTGTCAACAGCACCGTGTACCGGCTGGTGTCGCCGCGCTACGACGAGGACTGGCCCACTCCGACCAGACACTTCCGCGGCCCGGCTCTGGGGCGCGAGGGATCGCCGCTTCCCGTGACGGACGCAGAGAACTACAACCCTGATACAAACTACAACTGGGTGACGCCGCTACACTCCTACATCGTGTACAGTACCCCGGACATACAAAAGACCTTCTTCTTACTGTTGCTACTGGTTGTGATCGGAGAGTTCTTCAGCGCGCCCGCTATTACTTTAGCGGATTCAGCCGTTATAACATTACTCGGAGAAGACGCTGACAGGTAACTCTAAACTAAAATCTAGACTAACAATATTTTCAATTTGATATTTATATGACAATTTATGATTTTCATATATATGTATATTTTGTGACGTCTGTCTATTGTATTAAAATTTTGTATTGTAAAATATTTCCTAGAGCTAAGCTTACAGACTCTTTGTGTTAACATGAGAACGAAAACAATTTTATATAATTATTGTTTAATATATTTTTTTATTCCTAAGTCATATTTAACTATCCATATGTACATATATTGCATAATAATTACGTGTCTGTTATCAAGTTCCAAAGTTTTAAAACCCTCGTGTGTGTGGTAGGTACGGCCACCAGCGCATGTTCGGTTCCCTGGGCTGGGGGCTGGCCATGTTCTTCGTGGGTATCGCGCTGGACCACAGCACAGCCTTCAGTTCTCATCCTTGTGGCGGTCCTCAGCGCTACGAGAAGAACTACACGATCTGCTTCGCAACGTTCTCGGTCCTGATGGGCGCCGCACTTATTACTGCCACCCAGGTTACTTATGGTACAATTGAATCTGCTCTGGCCTCTAGTTAACAGGGTATTAAGAAGTGTATTTTATTTCTAGATTAATTTTAAATACGAGGAATTTAACGTCGAAACTCCCTTGGAGCCCCCGCCGCCCGCGGAACCTTCTCACGAGGAGCGCATGCAGCAGCAACTGGCGGAACAGCTCCAACTACCTGGCCTGGACACCAGCGCGCCGGCGCCGCGCCAGCCGCCCATAGAACACGCTAAGGTGAGTATTGTAACCAGTGACGAGAAGCAAATGATTCACAGTCGCAGGTCTTTTTCTACATAAGAATCGTTACAATAATAATAATTGTGGTAATAATATTTATTTGCTCTGAATGTAGGTAAAGAATATACGTGTACAAATAGATTTTAATATAAGTTCCAGGTACATTCTACCATAAGGCATGCATTTGCCTAATATTTATTAGGTTTAAATTATAAATTAAAATTAACTATTCAATAAAATAACAAAGTCAAATTAACAATACTCATACAATTGAAATTATAAATTAAACTTAACTACATAATTAAAATTAACTATACAATTATATTATACTAGTAAACCTGGCGAACTCCGTTTCGCCACCAGAAGGCTTTTATATAGCATTTCGTTTGGTGATTAAAAGATGAAGAATTTTTTGTTTTATATTTGAAAAGGAAAATTTTTATTTCATTTCACAACAGTAATGAATTCATTTCGATTACAAAAATGAAGTGTTATTTAGTTGAACTTCTCTAAGTAAATGAAAGTGAATCCAAAGTAGATACCGAATCGAAGCGTTATACGTGTCCGCAAATTATCCGTTTCATTGAAGTGCTCCTTTGTAAACCACATTTTTTGTTTTTTGGTCTAACTTTAACACAAATAAAGCGTATGGTTTCCAAACTCGTGAACACGCAAAATATAACTGCCCATGTCAAAAACAATGATTTTCTAAATTTATCCCGCAAATACTAAATGGTTTTAAGAGTTCAAACTACAAACACATTACCTAAATATTTTTATTTTTAGATTTCTTACAAATATCTAATTGTCATCCATACGCCATTAAATATCTGTCATTATACGTCAATTGCATAGGCTCTGTAATTGGGTTTTTGAATTATTTTTTTTTTTTGTGATAAATGGAAAGATCATATATAAGTTTAATAACAAAACTATTTTTATTTTATTTTTTTTTGCAATATTTAAAAAGTTATTTCAAAATAAAAATTAAATTTTAAATTCAGTACCGAAGACAAGCCGACAGCTCGTGAATAAACCCGAGCGCGTGTGACGTCACAATGTTAGTTTTTGCTCATTGTAGCATACAGAGATATAATAATTAGTACAGTGTTTTGAGTTTTTATCTAGTAAATTCTGTTGGCATTGTTAAATAATCAAAAGTTTTGTACCATTATGTACAAAGACTACAAAAACAACTCCTGAAAAAATGTTTTTAAATGTTCCACAAGACGAAAAACGTCGAAAGAAATGGTTTCAAGCAGTGCATCGAGATTATTCAAAAACAAAATCATTTTTTTTTTTTGTTGTGAAGATCATTTCGTTGTAAGTTTTCATAATAGTATTGTTATTAATTATTATTTATCTAAGTGTATAAATCGAATAAGTATAGTTCAATAATTAATTTTTTTACCTGGGCTCCAAATCATAACCTTTAGAATCGTAGCATTAAAAAATTTTAATTGATAATTCAAAGCGATTAAATAGTAAATCTATATATATGTTTGTCTAATAATTGGACTTCAATTAATAGATATTTTCATAATTTTATAACATTCTAGGTTCTGTATCAGACTACATTTAAATTTTTAAAGTACATATATGTTATTTTGGTTTTTTTATAATGTTATAATAACATTTTATTAATAATGATTTAATGAAATAATTATTAATTATATTTAATAGAGAATAAATACTAATTTTCATTTAGAATAGTATTTTTTGACAGACTTACCTTGATGTCTTAGCACCTCGAACTTCAGCAAAATTAAACCGCACTTTTTAAAAAATTAGTTATCATAAAAATATATTAACATCAGGAATATTATCCGATTTTGCTTTTATAAATCCTTTATCACACATTGTCGAAATAAACTTTTCAAATCGTTTTTCACTAATAAATTTGAGATATTTTTATCAAGTTAAAGATAATAGCCATAAACACTGTACTATTATGAAATTGCTTTAACATTATGACGTCACAAGTATGCTGACCAATCATGGCGCGTTTACAGTCACGTGATATATTTTTGAATTTTATCAATTTTTAATTGTTTATAATTAATTTAAAAAATATATTTCAAGTTTTTTGCATTAAAAATCCAATATAATTAATAATAAAGTTTTAAAATACATAAAAAAAATCAATACTTTTTTTTTTTTCAAAAACCCAATTGTGTTATTCCACGTTTTATAGTGACTGACGTTTCATTTCAAGTCCCACGGGAATGCTGCCGAACGAGATAAAAAGTATCCTATTGCAATTTCCTGGTTCTAAACTACCTCCCTGCCAATTTTCAGCTAAATCGGTTCAGCCGTTCTTGGGTTATAAGTGGAATCACTAACACGACTTTCTTTTATATATTTAGATATCCGATGATTTGTGATACAATGATAGATTAATTATTTAAGTTATATATTTTGTATTTTATAATTTTTTTATTCAGCAATATCTTACAAAATTATGTCTTATCCATTAGAAAATCGTTTACAGAGTAATAGCACTTGTTAACTAGAAAAGAAAACAAAAGTTTTTTAAATTTTATATACTTAAGTTAATTCTTTTACCTCATTAGGTATTTTGTTGTAATGATGTTTATAGAAATCTTGGTTTTTATATTTAAATGTTACTTATTGTCCAGAAGCGAAGTACATATTCCTTGCTTGCTACACAGGTAGCTGTAATCAATAAAGAAAAGCGCTCGTAACTTTTGTGTGTCAGAAATCATATTTTCATTCTATATCTACATTTCAAATTAAATGCATCTTTTAAAATTACTCAAAGTAAATTCTAAAGAGATAAAAGTTCTTACTAAGACTAATAAATATTAATTATTGGTAGATATACATATATACTACATGTAATCACTGTATACAGGTGTTCGCGCAGACCACTCGCGAGATGCCGGAGTGGGTGACAGTGCTGCGTCAGTTCCAGAATGTGAAGGCTGCCTCCTTCCTGCTGGTCGCCTGGTTCATGGGCTTCGGGATTGGACTGATCTTCACATTCCTCTTCTGGCACTTACAGGTTCTTATTCATATGAGAAATCAATATGATTTCAAAATCTAAATGTAACGATATATATGATGTCAACGTTTCACTGTCAGGATATCGGCGGCTCACCGACGCTTTTTGGTGTCGCTTCCGTCATCAACCACATCTCCGAGATCTTCGCCTACTTCTTCAGTTTCAAGCTTATCACTCAAATGGGACATGTTAAAGTAATTGTGATTTATCCGTTACTTTATATTATGAATTTAGTTAAATTAAATTTCTTATATGTACTTTATATAATAATAAATATGAAACGATTGAAACAAATTCAAATTTATTAAAACCAATTCACCAGAAACAAAAAAAGCGTCCGAACCGGTGGTAGTGTCTCAAGTGACCATCAATAAGAAAGTGTAATGATTCTATATTGAATAAAGTTATTTGAGTTGAGTTTGAATTGTTATGGTTGCATGTAATCAATGTGATTGTAGGTATTATGCTTGGGTCTCGCTGGGAACGTGGTGCGCTTCCTATACATCTCCTGGCTGACTCGACCCTGGTGGGTTCTTCCCTTCGAGTTCGTCCAGGGTGTCACCCACGCCGCCGTGTGGGCCGCCTGCTGCTCCTACATAGCTCACGGCTCGCCACCCAACCTTCGTTCATCCGCACAAGGAGTGCTCCAGGGTACGTTCATGCCCGAGCTTTTAATGTTTCTTTCATTGTGACTAGTAACTAGTAACGATATCCATATTAATACATCAGGCCTGCACCACGGTCTGGGGCGAGGTTGCGGCGCGGTGTTGGGAGGCATCGCGGTGGCCAAATGGGGCACGACTCGCACCTTCGCCGGCTACGGTCTGTTGTGTGGTGTGGCGCTCGCTGCATTCGCCTTCGTGAACTTCCGTGATGGCGGCATGGGCCCGGCGGCTCCCGGCGGGACCGCGGCTGATGAGGAGGCTCGTGCTGTGGCCGAAGCGGGCGTGCTAGCCCCGCACGGTGTCCCGTCTAACCCGCTCCCTCGAGCCCTGTCGTCCACTCGCCTGGCGGACCTGGCTCACCACGACAACTACGGCGCCACACAGAGCTACGCCGGAGCGGACAGCCTCGGCGTGCCGGGAGCCGCGCCGCCCCCGCAGGCCGGCCCCGGCCCGGGCCCACGACCCGCCAACCCCTTCCTGGCCGAGTCCGCCGGGGCCGCCTACCGGTAGACGGACTCCGCCAACCTAATCTCTTATTGCTACAGTATTATTGTCTACTTATGTCATGTTAAAGAGTAATACGAAATCTACGACTGCATGTTTAGCCATGATAAGTGAACGCTGCTCTTACTGGGCGTTGGCCTATTATCTGATAGAACAGTAGGGACGAAGTCAATTACGTCTCCTTAGAGTTGATTTATTTCATTCTCTTACAAATCAATTATAACATCAAGCTTCTATTGACATTCAATCTCTTATAAATTTTATAGCGATTTAAATTGCACTAAAAAATCGGGTGTGTAAACGTACATACATATTTTTAGCATATTAGAACATTACTTACCTTCATTCATGATTATAAGAAGATAGAACTATTTTCGGTGTTAAGACATGAGCTCTGTATATTAAGTACGAAATTAAAAAAACCGCACTAACTATTGAACAAATAGATTAATTATCGAAGTACATAGTATTTTCCTTAAAAATATAATTGTTATTAAGAGAAATATATTATTATAATGACTGTTTTAGATGCTTTGTAGTCAACTGTCGTCATTTTGATAATTATATATTTAGTGTGACACGTCATCCTTACTATAGTGTGTGTCGGGATGTCTGTCTATTGTCGAAGCGGCCGCTCGGTCATCTCCTTGCTGACTCAAAGTCGACTGACTGACTTTAACTAATGCTATTGCAGTACACACGTAGTTGATACTTGTATGTACGTATTTTAAGGCTTAGCTTTTGTTTGGAAATTCTATATTGTTATAAGAGCAGCATCAGATATTTTAAAAAGAAAAATCGTTTTCACTAAACGTGATAAATATAATTATTATAAATGACACACAATATGTCATATAGATATCTATTAACTATTTAATATTGTGATTTATATTGAGTTACCGTGATCCTGTTTGGGTTCATTTATTATTAAACTTATGATTGTTATTTCTTTATGTATTCTATTTAAATTTTATATCAACGAAGGAGTCCTTTATGAAAACCTAGATCTCCTCTAACTGTCAGGAGCGTCTCCTGTCTGCTTACCACGTCCAGAGCCACGAGTCTGGATCGTCACGCTACATAGGAAACAATAACAGGAGTGGTGCCTTACCAAACAAACTACGTTAATATTATAATGTGCGGAGATTTATGATAGAGTATCTGGAAACGGCCTGTAGGCTCCATTGCGACTCAAACACGTGTTGGTAAGCACAGCGGTTACACTCCTACCTTACTTGACCCCGTCTGTCCTTCCAACACTCCTGAAATCAATAATTACATTATTAAGTTTGTTACTAAAAGTAAATTATTTCCTTTGTTTATATATTTAGTGACAGTTGACACAGCTGTTTGATATAGTGTGTGAATTAATTAGTTAAGATAAATAAGAACTCCTCTTGGTCTACGGACATCGACGTGCGCAAACAGAAAAATATATGTAATGTTCCACAATTATAAACATACGAAGATATTGAATATATAGATTGAGTGAGAACTCGTCTTTATCAATGTATGATATATAACAGTACGTGTGTTGTACGTCGTTAGGTTCAAGCTAACGGCTCGCCTCCGGCTTGTGTCGTCGCTGTTCATGTCCTCCCGTGTATTATATGTGTGTTGTAGGTGTAAGGAGCTGGATGTTATCTTATTGTAATGTTAAGTGTACGAGTTATTCTTCACGGTGTCATATCATGGTGTGATCCTAGTTACTCTGTGTGATCGTAGAACCATCGCCCGCGGGCTCACACTTTATATTTGTGTTATTTTCGTGGTAGTCGTTTATAATTCTTAGCTACTAAATGTACTGTATATGTATACATCTGTTGTATAGTTATTATTATTATTCCTAGCGATGTAACGCGGCACAGTTATATATTTTTGCACGGCAGCGCGGCCCCGTGCGGTCTCCGCGCGTCCTCACTCGACGACAGTCTGCTTAACACAAGTTTGAATCGTCATTATGAAAACGAAGCGTTTCACGTCTCTCATTCAATGATCTACGTTAATATTGTAATGTATGAAGATTTATGAATAAAAACAACTGTTAACATTGCGGTAAACATACTCTGTACAGAGAACTAAGGACTGATGTTCATCCCGTAGCGCCATGCACCAGGTCGGTGGAAAGAGTGATGAGTGTCGGGGACCGGGCGGGGCGGCTTATAACGAACGATCTTCAATTTCAAATATATGATATAACAAATAAATGTTGAACTTTCCATCGCGAGTTTCATTTTGATGTAGAACCACTGTACCTGTCTAGTACGAGTATGTATGAGCAGGGAGTCCGTCAACTTCGTGTTATTTACTTCCCGGCGTGTATGTACGGGTGTGTCGGCAGTACACGATCAATACAGGCCAGCTGCCTTATCACTGATAACGACTGATATCAGACGGCGAGGTTTCTTTTTTCACATTTAACGTTAATCTTGATAACGTTTGATAAAGTTTTTGATTGCAACTGAATTTGTTAATAAAGAGAGTCGTGTGAGTCGTCTCGCCTCGTGTTACTCTGTGTTCTTTGAGTTTCAAGAAGTTTTTTATTTAATATCGGATGCCTCTTAAACTTTCATATAATTAGGTCTTATATTGTCATCCCTGCGCGTGTGTGTGTGTGTGTTCTAGTGTGAGTGATGGCGCGAGCGTCGCGTGTGTACCCCGCCCTGTTGCTGCACATCAACTTGCTGCTCGTGGTAATATAATGATAATCAGTGTTATATACATGACTTCATATATAAATATACAAACATACACTGTCGAATGAACAATTTCTTTCCAGCTTTTATTACAGAGTATTGAAATATGGTCGTGTCAAAGATTACTCATCACATTTCCAATATTTATTTACATTTGATCGATATGTGATATTTATGTCTATCACGTATCATTTCTATTTTGATAAATATTTATTTTTAATGATTAAATACTCCTGATTCATATACTATTATTGGACCTTAAAGGTCCAGATAAAACAAAGAGAATGTATGTGTGTAAATAAGATATGTAATGTACAATATAGGATTATTCAATAACATTAAATAAACTGAAAAAGAACTCCGAACACCTACAACGTAAGTCCGACAACTCTATCAATCAGATTCTATCTTTTCTATAATAACAAAGTTTAAAAAACTACTCGACTTATCAAATAGATGAATAATTTTGAACTAAAGTTCATTTAGTCGTATTAAATTAGTAATGAAGTGACAAAAGCAAGTTTATATTCTTCAAAAGATCGAAATGTTAATGTATACTTCATAAAAATTACTAAAAATTTAAGATTAAAGCGACACTCCATATTATGTGTAACGCGTCCCATACATACTCGTATCTGTCAGACGTTATATTATAACATTTTTATTCGTAACTTTTTTACTACGTAACGGGACATTTTCTTATTTATGAAAAAAGTAAGAGAAGTATTAAATACTCGTGACTGTAGAGATAGCTAAATAAATAAATAAATATTCATATGATTCAGAATAAAATCTTTTATAGAAGGTCCGTCCTACTAATATTGAAAGAATTATAATTTCAAAGTATCTTAAAGTCCGACCTCAGTATTATTATTGATCAAAATTCCCAAATTAAATGTTATATTATTATTGATGTACTAAACAAGCACTAATATTATGGTTGGAATATCTAAGACATTAGAATAAAGGAAGGGACTTCAACGGTTCATAGTTACTTAAACAGAGACGAAACCTCTTAGCATTCAATGGATTCACCGTGCGAGTGCCGGCTCCATCGCGATTAATATTGTCGAAAATTGCTGAATACCGAAATATAGTTCTATTACATGGATCTGCGCTGAGAACTATACACAGATTGACTTCATAAGACAAATAAAAACACTTTGTTGTCCAAATAGAAAGTTTTAAATTATTATAAAGAAACTTTGTTGAAGTCTTTCACGTTCTATCATTACTTAACAGGAAAAAATGGTGGTGTGGCTAATTCAAATCTGAGAAGCAGCGTGGCCAGTGGGCCGTGTGATTGATGATACCCATATGTAACTGTAGAAGCAGCGGTTAAATAAATAATGTATCAAGCAACGATAATTAGGCAGTCAAATTTAAAGTTTAAGAAACAAAAAGAAATTCGAAAATGTTAAAAGATCCCCTTTCTAAAATTAATATTATTACTATATTTGATCATTCCTTGTTGCTCCTCATTATTTGAGGCCCAACCTTTGTAAGTAGTTTGCGGTGGAGAATATTTCGGTGTTTTATACTTTTATTTTACACTTATTTAATTTTGTGGCCAAATATGGCATACGACTTTAATATAAGTGATAGTTTGATTGTAGCTGTAATATATACGTATTATATTAACATGTTTTGTGTCAGTTGTTCGCGGGCGCCATGCTGGCGACGGCGGCGCGGTTGAAGTGGGACCCGAGCGCGTACATCCCGGCCCGGGAGCTGCTCCCCGCCGAGTACCGGAGCGCCGCGTGCGTGCTGCCCGCCGCCGGCCTGGCGCTGCTGCTGCTGGCCCACCTCGCCCTCACCGCCCTCAGCTGCCGCCCTCCAACTAGACGAGTCTTGCTCGTTGTGGTGCAGAACACTCTACTATCATAATTGATATTTGTTGTTAATTAAAGTTTAGTGATGAGCCAGGTGTGGTTCCAGTACTCGTCGCTGATGGGTGTGCTGGCGTGGTGTTGCGTGTGGTGGGGCGTGTGGGTGTCGGTGCGAGTGTGTCGCTGGGCGCGCGGACCGACCGCCTCCGACCTCAACCACGCGCTGGCCCTCCAGGACGACCTGCACCCGCTGCTGCAGCACCTCGCACGGTTCCACCCGCTGCCGGAGAAGGTCCACAGACTGATGCAGGTCGGTAATGTTAACTACTAAAATAATTAATTTGATACGTAAAATATTTACGGATTATCTTTCTACGAGTGTCCAATTTTATAATAAAAAACACAGGTAAACATAAAATAGATTTATAGTGAAAAATTCTATCAACTCAGAAACCTAAATTAGTCTTGTTGACATTTCTACATTGTATTAATATCCGTACTTCTGAGACGTTTTTTTCTGTCGTTTATTGACCAACAGTCGTTATGTTAGGCAGAGTAGGTTCCATTGTAGTTAGTGCAATATTTTTCGGTAAATCTTTGGCTTCATAATGTTCTATTATCTTTACAGCAAAGTATACTAATTTTAATTTTAGTAATACATTGACATTTCAGAACTTTCATCCGTAAAAACTTCTGTAGCGTTCAGTATCAAATGAAGTATCCTAACCTTTAGTATTATTATCATTCTCATATTCATGAGCAAGTCTTTACATCACCTCGCCACCGTCAGTTCTGTACTGTATATTACTTCTAACATCCGTAGTGTCGTTTCCTTTCGTGATGTATTTTCTGGATTCCAGTAACACAGTTGGAGTCATCAATCGTGCTGAAATGATGACAGAAGTTTAAATATAAAATAATGTAATGGTATTGTGAGTTCGATGTCCCATCACTACTTAAAATAGAGATATGGTGTGTAAAAGCGTATTAATGTAAAATGTGAAACAGTGCATAATAATCATTATAATAATATAACGTGGGTTTTTCTGCTAACAGATAATAAGTATAAAGTATAAATCGCATTACAAATCTAAACTCGGATTTTAATTCATTCTATTGAAAGTTCAAGTTTTTGTCCAAATGTGCAAAGATCGAATTGGCTCCATCAAAACCTCTAAAATTTTTCAGTAAATAAGATTACAAACCTATTTCTTTCCCTTTTCTTCGTGACAATGCAAGTAAAGTATTTATTTGGTAGACTCACAGAGATCTTAAAAAATATTTAGTGCAAGTCATTAAATACAAAATTTTGAAAAAATAATTTTATGTGCTTTTCCGAATATAATATCGTATCATTTAAATGATTAACTTAGACGTATTTGTTGAAAAAAAAAAATGTTTTCTTTTTGATTATGTATTAAACAGAACTGTTGAACCTTAAAGATTTCTCGTAAACATTCAAATATTTGATTTATTCAAACAATACAGATCGTGGTAAAGATAATTAATTAATATTAAAGGAAAAAATTTTACTTTTGACATTCAAGGATTATCCTTGTCTTATAAGTATTGTAATATTCTCAGGTCTGCTGCAGTATTGCTTAACAGTTTGCTGAAAAAGGTCTCCAACAAACATGAAAGATTCAAGTCATTCCATCTTTCTATATACTTGGGAGCTCCTTCCTTCTTCTTTTATTATCTTTTTCAGTTCTAAGGGGGATAACTTTTATTTTGTATCAGCGTGTGACATCCATTTAATTTCCAAAAAGTAATAATTAAGAATTTTCATTTCGAAAACAGAATAACAAAGGAGTCATTCTGTTTCTTTTTAACCTTCAAATTTACAATCTTTCAAAGGGATTATTTTGCTTGATTTTCAATAATTTCCTTTACCTAAAACGTAATTATATGAAGAGCTATCAATTTGGATACTTGTTAGAATTCTTTCTTGTATGAGCCGTTCACGGTAATAATCTCTCATGGTGTTGTAAAACCACGTTACCTCGACAATAAGCTCTAACAGACTAACTTAGAGAAACATTTCATTACAGACCCTCAAAGTTATTGTTGGTAATAAATTCAAAAATATAGCAAATCTTTATTTTTATTATCATATATAAGAAAATATCATATATAAGAAAATGAATTTTCATTATAAAATATGCGCTTTTCTGTTTGTTTTGAAATATACATACATATATGCCTTGCCCTTTCATTTGCTTTTATAATTTATGTTATGACTTTTGTTATTATACAACCATGAACATCACAACCTGACACAGTTGAATGTTTTCTCTTGTATTAACATCTTTGTAAAGACTGGTGTGAGGTATATTGTATTGTTCAGTGGATATTGTCCTGTTGTTCCAGGAGGCAGACAGCGACCTGCCTCGTAACGTGTACGTGTTGATGGCGAGCAGCGCCGCGGTGGTGGTGCTGCAGACTACGGCGGCGGTGGTGGCGCTCGGCGCCGCGCTCTCCGCCCCGCCAGCGCCACGCCGGGCGCGACGTGACAACGACGTGCTGGCGTACAGCAACACTACCACGTACACTCCGCTCAGGTCGGTCCTCGTGACTCTAGCTAGCTCCTACACCTATAACTTTTGTTGTTTTTTTTTACAACACCTTTAAAATCATTCCATTTCTAAAAATCTAGTGCGCAATTAATTGTTGTGGAATCGCTGACTCTAATATCACAATTTATATTCGTTTTAGAGTCAGAGGTATACTACAAAAGATAGACAATGTAATGTAAAATAACCCTAGATTTAGTTATTAAGCTAAAAACAATTTACATATGTACATTATTTCATAGGTGTTAATAAATTATTATTACTATTATAGCTACAGTTTTATTTATAATATACTGATTATAGCACGGTGTCTGTTTCAGTGTGAGACGAGGAGAGGATAAGATATCGTTGAGGACCGTGTACAGGAACGGCCGGCTGGAGGTCGTGTGAACTGTGACTGTGACTGGGGAGTGTTGAAGAACTTAGTGAATAATGTTGAACTATGAACATGACAAGAACGTGGACTGGAGACAGCTCATTAGATTGATCACATTGTATTATGTGATTTTTATTTTACTGGTTTTAATTTAATTGTTAGAAGTAAAAAACGATGATTTTCTTGTAAATGAAACATACGAGAACATAATTATTAAGCAAGTGGATAAAATTAAGTTTATTAGAGATATGGTGTAAGAAATAAATAAAAACAAAAACGGTACAAAAATATCACTTTATTGCTTAATAATAGTCTTAACAAGTTTCCATCTCCCCCCTCCCTCCCCCCCGGTCCATCTCATCTCCCAACATGTTATTGTCTTCCTCCTCCCTCTCCACCCAGACCTGAACACTTACTAACTACTTGGCACCAGAGGCTAGGCGCGTCTGCACGGACACGCTCTATGTATGTATAGTAAATGTGAGTTCTAAACTATCTACCTACGTATATAATAAGGACTTACAATAACAATACTTTGTTCGTTACTTTGTTACATTACGTTCGATAAATCACAGAAATAATGGAATTCGGAAGTTGAGGAGGAGACGGGCGAAGGCCTTCTAGTCCAACTCACAACTGACGTGAACTATGAACCACGCTGACGTCACGCTGACGCCACGCTGGCGTTCTTTTTTATAGCACCGAGTGCATCTTCAAGATACTAAACCTCTACAAAATATAAAATCTAATAAAACTATAAACATGATCGCAGAGCGTTACGTATTGAACACGTGAACAGGCAAGACCGTCTCTCGCTAAGATATGGTTGAGGTTAATAGTCTAACATATAATATATGCCTTACAAGCTACAATAACAACTACCTACACTATAAACAATATGGCAGTCTGTGTGTCTTCAACATGTTGAATACTTATCATACCAAGAGATGGGTACGATGCGGTTCGCTCGACATTCGTTGTATGAAACGCTTCCTAATGTCAAAGAAGTCTTTTATAACATCACACGCCGGCAGTGTCGGTCGATACATCGCTACAAACAGCTAGTTATCAAATACGTACATAAAAGACGCGTTTATAAATCTTCTTAATGCTAATTATTGGAAGTAGATTTTTTTTAAAGATAACATACATTTTAACAAGATAATAAACATGATATCTTAACGACACACCGCTTCCACGACATTATGACACGTCATAAGGCATGGAAGTGGAAATATGTGGTCCGCCTCACAACACGTACTCGACGGGGAGTCTAAGGAGCGTGTGACTGTAGAACTGGTATAAGTTCTTGGTATAAGTCCGTGTACAGCGCGGTGTGTTGTTTCCTACAGGTCGGTCCGCAGCACCAGCACGGTGGTGGTGGGTCGAGATGAACAGCCCGACGACGACGAGCTGGCTGCGAGGCGGCGAGAGGCTGCCAGCTGGGCGTGCACGGCCTCCCAGCGGGGGTCCCGCCACGGGTGGGGGGCGTGCGGGGCGTGTGAGGTGCGCGGGGGGAGGGCAGGAGACGCGGCGCCCGGCTCCGGAGACGCCGCGTGTTCCTGCGGGGATGACGTCATCAGTCAACACACACACACACACACCAGACACGATTAACCTCGATACTCCCGTTCGTCACCTGCTAGAAAATCTTGTCGAGTATAGTGTACATGCGCAGGTTGGCCTTCTTCCTCCAGCCGGGCGGCGGGTCCCGTCCTCCGTCACTGTCGTCGTCCACATTCTTCTCGCACGTGTAGGAGCACTCCTCCAGGTCGAGAGCGCGCTCCCCTCCCCCCAGCCCCCTCACGCCCTTCACCCCCCGCGGCCCACACTCCGTGTCCGCAGCCCCTGAGCCCGTGTCCGTGTAGACGCGTCGGACCAGTCGGCGAGACATTACGAAGGCCGCTATCTGAAAGTAAAACATACATACATTGTAAATGGTCAGTAGCGGTTGTTACGAGTAGTGTTGTAAGCAGGAGCTGGTACACGAGCACCGACCTGGAGGATCATCCCGACGAGGCCGAACACGAAGATCACATACGCGTTGTTGGGCGCCTTCTGCTCCACCTCCTGCATTAACAACACCATAACATAGTTCAGTCGTTTGTCATACACAGGTGGTAATAATCGTATTGGATATTAAAATTATTAAAACAAAGCTAAAAGTTAAAAGAATTAAAGGACTAAATCCACGTGCCCAAATATTTCGTGGCATATTAAATTAGTACGAGTCAATCCGTTACAGTCAAGGGTCCGTCTCGAACACAGCGAACTTGAAACTACTATAGCTCGATTTAATATCTAAAATATGCTACTGATAGCAATCTCATCGGAAGCGGACCGATATTTCAGAGGCATTTTAAAATTTAAACAATACTTATTATTTATTTAAAGTTACAACCAACCGGTTGAGCTTTTTCAGCTTTACCTCATTAACATAATTTTAACGATATATATATATATATTATTTAATCTGATCTCTCCCAACCAGTGGCGGCTGTACCTTAAGTGCACTCGTGCGCTGGAACACCAATTCAAAAGATTTAAAAATTACAAAATATTATTTCATCTTTATTTTTAAATTACCATTTTTATATTTATTTTTTAGCCATATAAAAACTTATAAAAAATTAAATTTCCTAATTATGGTCAAAAAGTTTGAGCGCTTTACTAAATTAATATCGTGCGCTACGGCGACCGCACGAAGACTCCTAATACATCTTGTATGAGATACGAACTAATACGCCTGACGCGTGAAACAAAAGATAGTTCATAGAAATGTACCGAGTAATGAGTCGGTTCTCGAGCGCCGCACGAGCGGCCGAAGATTGCCGAGAGCACCCGATGTATGACGAAATGAGTCGCCCGGTTTTGACATTTCGTTATTGCATTGTTGCATTTTCTAATTTTAATATTTTAGTAAAGTGCACCACCAGTTCGATTACCCACCAGCCGCCACTGCTCCCAACATAAACCGTTGAAACACAATCCACATATTTATATTATCTTTGTATCGGATTCAATGTTTATTTTTATTTGTTCCGGTACTGACCGACCTGGAACTAATATATTTAAAATATCTTTTTTCAGCCGCAATACACTTCTCTTAGACTCCCTCAACATTCACTAGAGAAACGTATTATTGTATTTAGGGTTAATATGTAGCTAAGAGATAGATCCGTGTTGAGAATTATAAATAATTAAATAATATTAATGATTGAAAATCCTTTCTTTGATAAAACAAACTCTTATAACAACAGTAATAGTTACTATATGAGAAGTGTAAAGACAGCTCCTAAAATACGTAACCATCCGTTCATTTTATTCGGCAGGAATCGATTTGTCCCGATCGAGGACAAATTGGAGCAGCATTGTTATGTTAATTCTGTCAATTGGCGCGATCAATAGATGTCATGAGATCGAAATTGTCCAACAGACATCAATAAAGGCTCCATTATTACCGCGGACCGGCCGCTACACACATCCGACATGTAGGTAGTAGGTACTCATCATACATTATGAAAACTTCACAGGAAGCACGGCTCCGGTCCTAACATCTTCGACACGTTCTTCATAGGACGCATATTGTGTTCGTTTTTGTAGTACTATTTCTTACGTTTAGGTTCTTCTGACTTATGTACTTACTATTTACTCGTACTATTGATTTCCTTTTTATGAATAAACTTTTATTTTATATATAAACTTTTATTTTATATATAACTATTTTTGTCCGTATCACAAACTTTTTTATATAATATTAGTAAGATGATCAATAAACTATATTAAAAGATAAACTATATTAAATGTGTAAAGATTTTAAATATGCGTTGGTTTACATCTACAAATACATAATATGTAAATTCACTATATTATAAGATCAAATATATGCAATAATTAGTGCTGATTTAGTTTTCATTCAAAGTTAATTACAATTTTTGTGTAATAAAACCAAATCACAAGATAATAACATATGTTTCAACTTGTTATACACAATGTTGTGTTGTTTAATACAAACCTTTATTACTAAAATAATATTAGTATGTTGTCTGTATACATGAATACCAACTAACTGGCAGTTTGATAGTCACACTACATAGTAGTAGTATATAGTCATACTACGCCGTATATCTGATTTGGAATTCTAGTAAGGTAGAATTTCAGATCAGAAGATCAGATAGAAATAAAGATCAGTAGTAGTGAAGAAGACTTATACTGTAATATACAGGTCTTACCTCGATCATAGCGTAGATGGGCCGCGCCACGTGAGCATATCGCTCGACGGCCAGCAGCGCGGGCTTGATGTCATGAAGCAGGTCCATGCCGTGACGCACCAGGTCGGCCTGAGGGGCGGAGCGCCACCACGCGGACAGGGAGGCCGCCATCCACGAGCCGTACGCCACCTCGCTCACAGCCAGGCATACCACGCCCACACCGTACTACACAAACATAACGCTATGAAGAAGAAACTACATTGAAAACTGATAAAAATGTTGTCTTTGAGTTCATTCACTGACCAGGTGGAGGCAGGTGGTCGCCGGTCGGTGAGCCGCGCTGGCTGCCACGTACACCAGCCCGGCCAGCCAGAGGCCGGCCGCCAGCAGGTAGCCGGTGGTGACGCGGTACTGGGTCTCACACAGGTACCTGAACCACGTGTACGTGCTCGGGTCCCACAGCAGACGAGCCGCGGTGGCCAGCAGCGCCCCGCTGTACATCTGTCATCATAACACAATGTTCATTCGCTATCTCTTCTTTGTTCGCATTAACGTCTTTGCATTAAAGTGAAATGTTTTATCTCGAAGTCCAACAAAGAGTCTTTCATCATATCGGCAACATTCTACTCTATTGATAACGAGTACAGGACGACTCTGTGACGTCACCTTATGACATCAATAATATAATGAAAAGGTTAAATGTCACTGCGATATCGCGAATTCTCTGTCCCTTGTTTACTGAATCGTTTTCAGTGACGGTAACAGTAGTTCGTTATAACTGAAACTTTCCAACTGGAGGTCGAGTGACCGGAGTCAGATGAAGATAACGTTATTAGGTGAACATAACCTTAGCATGACCTACACACACACATAGATCACTTAGGAATTATGATGTTATTAGTTTCTAATGTTTAGTCATCGATAGATGGGTTTATTAAGTTGAATTAAACTAATCGAAAAAAAGTATTATATATACATTTATAATAAGCCTAGTAAGTAGTATATCTGACAACCATAGTTTCATTAAAATGTGTACTTTCGAAAATCTTAGATGTCATGAAATATAAGAAGTGGTTAATTTTTTGTTTTTTTTTTCTTACAACTCACTGAAGAATCAAGATAGTTGAATGATAATACTAATAAAGTATGTAATGGTTAATTGAATTAAGACTCCCGGGCATAACATATCTCATAATTTAAAGGGCTAGTAGCATGGTACCCACGTTCGGTTACTTTATATCAAAGGATTCTCTATGTACTATTTTTTGTGACTCTTCCACCACTTCGTAATAATTATTGTTTTTATTCCGTCCCATAGAGAATACTCGCCAAAAAAATACAAAGGTCGTATCTGATGAGTCTACCTGTTTGTGAGAAGCCAACACTTAATATAACAACTGCTATTAACGGACCTTGTAACATTGTTTTTAATATTTTTATAACAACTGGCCAAAATCAAGTAGTTGTTATATGAATCATTGAACGAAAACATAAGTATAACGTCCGATATTATATCTTTATATAATGTTAAACTACAGAGCAGACTGGAAAAAGCCATCCTGACGGAGTCGGCTCATCTCAGTCGTAATTATTATTACAGTGATCTTTGTTACGTTCTTACAATCATATCATTATAACGTTTTGTGTAATCAACGCCGACACGACACTCACTTGTGTCGTTATTTTAATTCCATTCATCGTTCAACAAAGACAGATGATTATAAAATATACTCTTGAGAAATTAAATTTATTTGACATACAATTGAGTGTTTTTTTATTGCAAACTGTCGAGAATTATGTCAAGTAGTTATTATTTTCATATACATATGTTCTAATGATATATTCCTTTGTGAATATTATATATTTGTATGACCGTATATCAGTTTTTTTACAACTTGATTCCAGATACATTCCTTTAAATTCATTTGAAGGAATTTGACATGTATATTGTATCAGCAATAGCTTACGATACGTGTGGTGTTCACTCATCTGGTATTAACTCCGTGTTTTGTTTATTTAACAGAATGTTTTAAGTCCTCAGTCATCTAATCACTACCCTTCTATCAGAGTGTAGTTCGGAGCCACGATCTGCTCGATCTCACATTAACGGCTCAATCTAATTCGTCAACCTTCAAAATTATCGCTTGCATAATATAATTTAATTAACAAATTTAAATGACAATGCGTGAAGAGAATTCTGTAAGTGCGAGGTTGTACGTCCTTTATTCCGTCTGCTGATAAAAAAACTAATATTAGAATGTCATTGTCGTTTACTCAGTTAATTGTTATTGTCGTGGGGCGGGTGAGCAGTCCGCGAGCACTTTGTAATATGTATGTTGAGTGTGGCGATGTATGTAGTTGCCACAGCTGGTAACAAGTCAAATAACGTATACAAGCTGCACATCATATAGGGCATTAAACTTGTCTTCGGACGTCTTCAATACATTTCAAGAAAATTGATTCAATGTTAATGATTGTTAACCTCGGCTTGACCTCTCAGTCTAATTTAAAGTTTTAGACATTGCGTTCTGAGGTTATACATTGTCAAATGTTGAGTCAGAGAGATAATTGATCAAAATCTTCTTTTATATGAGACGTTACGATACATACGTATGATGTGAGAAGACAGTAGTGGTAGGAAGTATACTCGTACAAGCAGACGGTAACACTCACAGACAAACACGACGCCGAGCGGTCAATAAACCGTACCGAGGTAATGATCTTAAAGAGACTTGGTAAATTTTTTGTAACAGTAAACATTAAAGATGAAATATTAACAAAACATTGAGTGTTTATTGAAAACTTATCAATATATCATAGTTACAGGTTCCTGGTACCACTCTCTGAATGCGCAAAAATAGTAGTTACAAATACAACGTGTGCATGTTGTAGTAGATAGGGACCGCCCCGTAACGACACGAATATAGTGTGCTTGAAAAGTTGGACGACAGTCAAAACAGAACTGACGAGTCATACAAGTTTGCATGACACACTATAGACGAAACGCCTCCCGTTTCTCAATCAATGATCTAACTGAATGTACGATGATTTATTAATATAAAACTGGCAACGCTGTGTAGAGTCAAATTTGTTTTAATTAACTTAATACTTTATTTTTATTTAACAAAACTTCATTGAAGCTGTTTTAAAATTATTTTATTTAATAGTAACAAACATCCACATATACATATTATGTCTATTTAAATCATTGACCACCATAATATAATGTCAGAGGGATATCTTTATTTATTCAATATGTGAGTTTGTTTGTAAGTAACATTAATATTTATCCGAGGGTATCGTCTCCGTGTATTTTACGTCAATGATGGAGGATGTTCCTCTGATACATTTCAAGTCAATAATAAAACATAAGATACATTAACACAGCGGGAAGGATAAATGAGTGAGAACATGGGACAGAATACACCGCGACGAACTTACAGAAAGATTTCTATGTATATTAAACTAACCGGTTCTTATCTATACTAATATTATAAAGCTGAAGAGTTTGTTTGTTTGTTTGAAAGCGCTAATCTCCGAAACTACTGGTTCGAATTGAATAATTCTTTTTGTGTTGGATAGTCCAGTTATCGAGGAAGGCTGTAGGCTATATAACATCACGCTACGACCAATAGGAACAAAGATATAGTGGTAAATGTGTAAGAAACGGGAGAAATTAATTCATCTTTGAAGCCTTCCGTTGCGTGCGCCGTGAAAACGGTTCAAGATACACAAAAAATATGTATTAAAGAATAATAGCTCTTTTAATGATCTACAAAACAGTCCATGACAGTATATATCTATCTTTTAAGATTAACTCACAAAAACCGTTTTTATGGTACCTAATTTTGTCGAAATAATTTGTTTAAGTTGTATTAAAATAATAATATTAATCTTTATTCATATAAACAAATAAATATGTTGTTGGTTAAGAGTACTTCATTATTAATATAAAAAAAACATAGGTTTCATCTTGAAAATTCTACGGGAACTCGACCATTCCGAAAACCCCGCAAGAACGGGAACTATGTGGGAAGAACCAAAAATCTGTCGGAAGTAACTATTCCACGCGGACGAAGCCGCGGCAAAAGCTAGTATTTAATATAAATATGTATAATAAATTCGGTAATTTAATCATATAGTTAGTTACTCCACATTGTCGGTGGATGGTTCTTCACACTTTATTCGGCTTCCTCATTAAATACTAGCCAGAGATGTTTATTTATCTTTTACATTTCTTGTTTTTTCTAATGACTCTGCTTCTTTAATTGTATTTAGGATACATATCACAGAACAATATTTCTTATAATATCATACGAGTATTACAACTTCATCAAAAGTCAATTTTTTTGTGTAGTTTTTAAGTTGTTCTATCTGTTATTGTAAACATCCCTATCTAATATCAATGAACCTCGTATAGTTCCTCACGCCCGCGCCACACACACGTGACACAGATTTTTACTCGACTGCTGAAGCTTTACGATGAGGTTAAGTCTTAACCCGTGATTAAGTTTCCACATTACAAAAACTAAAACGAGTTTGTTCCCGTTTACTAATTTTAAGCTTTTATATTTTGTACTTTGTAAGCTTTTATATACATATACATATATGAGTTTTCTTTCGGTCATGTATACTTAATATATATCTAACGTTTTTATGTTAAAACTAAGTTGACTCGCTAAACGAAGGGAAAGACATGTTTGAAATACCACGAAATCCGTTCCTAAGGTAACAACTGAACACACACCGTCATGTAAATAGTATTTATTGTACGTCAAGGTCGCCGATGTTCGACTGTTTCAAGGATCTATCAATTTGTTTAAACAAGTTTATTACTTTACAGTGTCCCTAGAGACTCACTCCACCGATGAATCGGAAACAATTGCCGCGGCATCACGTTTTGGTTAATAATTTAAACACTTTTAGAGAACTGAAATATTACTTATGAAAAGCTGGGAGTTAGAAGAAATAAGACCAGAGAGACGAGCTGTAGGTCGACGACCTCTAGGAGATGAACAGTGACGTCATCACAGACTAACCAGTGACCAACTACCGAGCAGTTAGTATGGGTCATACAGAGTAATGTACGTACAGAGAACTATGAAGTAACGTTGAAAATGACATGTCACGTCAGAATATGACTTTATTAATACTTCGTTTGATATGTTTGTGATGACTGCTTGTGTCTATACAGGAGTCATCATGAAACAACAACACCTGAAAACTTTTATATGTATTTTTTCCTAAATCGTTTTCATTTGTCACTCTAAAGCTATCTTTTCGTGAAGTGTTCGCCTGAGTCCGACCGCCGCAGCCGTGGACATTCTTTCCCACAACTTCATGTTAATATTCGAATATAAATTCTACAATAATTCAGAAACTATACTTTTATTAAATGTCTTACAAACATTATTAATTACAATATATGTATAATATTTAATTTTATCGAACTCTGAGTGTAATTTATTGAAGTCCAACCACAGTGAGCGATCGATTACCGA